GAGATTTTCAGGCCAAGAACTGAAATGCGGAAACCCTGAGGCAGAAGCAAGTTTGGGGTGTTTCAGAAATGACGAGAAGGTCACTGTGGCCAGAGTAGAGGGAGGGAGTGACACAGGACGGAGAGAGGCAGGGCCGTGGCCAGAAAGGCCGTGTAGGCCAAGGAAAGAGTTTGGATTTTATTCCGTGGGTGATGGGAATGCATCAAAGGGTTTTGAGCATGGCAGTAACACAATCTGATTTGACTTTTAAAAAAGTAACTGTCCTGTGGAAAGCCGGGAGGAGAGATGGCAGGACTGAGTGAGTTTAAGAGGCTGCTGCGGAGAAGCCCTGCTGAGAGGCGATGGTAGCTGGGACAAAGGAGATGGAGTGGAAGTCATCATGTTTGAGATAAGGTTAAATTAGGACGTTTGCTGCAGGCTTTCTGACGGATGGTACTGTGCTGAGAAGGACAAGAGTCAAGGATGACTTCTGGCTTTTTGCTCTGAGCAACTGGGTGAATGGTAATGAGATTTATGGAAAAATTGATAAACTGGTGGAGGAGCAGGTTTGGGGAGTGTCTGTGAAAAATCCGATTATAAATGGTTTATCAGAGTCACATCTATAAATTATTGTTTTGTTTATGTTTTTAATAGCTTCATTGCAGTATTATTCATATATCATACAGTTGACCCGTGTAAAGTATACAGTTCACTTTTTTTTTAGTATATTCAGAGAATTGTACAACTATCGCCATAAGCAATTTTAGAGCCCTTTCATCCCCGAAAGGAAGCCTGTACATATTAGCAGTCACTCTCCACTCCCTGTCCACCCTCAGCACCTGGCCCTAGGCAACTGCTGCTCTGTCTCTGTGGATTTGCCTATTCTGGACATTTCGTATAAATGGAACCGCACAATCGTGCAGTGAGACACAGTGGTTTTTTGTGTCTGGCTTCTTTTGCTGAGCATACTGTTTTCAAGGTTCATCCATGTTGCTGCATGTGTCAACACTTCATCCCTTTTTATGGCCAAATGATACTCCCTTGTATGGATGTATCAATTTTGTCTTTCCTCATCTGGTGGACTTTTGAGTTGTTTCTACTTTTTGGCTGTTATGGATAATACTGCTGTGAAGATTTGTGTACAAGTTTTTATGTGGATGTGTGTTCATTTCTCTTGGGTATATCCCTAAGAGTGGAATTGCAGGTCATATGGTAGCTCTAAATTTAGCCTTTTGGGGAACTACCAAACTGTTTTCCAAAGAGACTGCACAATTTTACGTTCTCATTAGCAAGGTACCAGGATTGCAATTGCTCCCCATAGAGTTTCCCTGGAACCCTAGTCTAAAATCAACTGACCGTGAATATGAAGTTTCATTTCTGTGGACCCTCAATTCTATTTTATTGATCTTTATATCTGTTCTTATGTCAACGCCACACTGTCTTGTTTATTTAGCTTTGTACGTTTTAAAATGGGAAGTGCGAGTCCTCCAACTGTGTTGGTCTTTGTTAAGGTTAGTTTGGCTGTTAGTGTTCCTTTGCACTTCTGTATGAATTTTAGGATCACCTTGTCAATTTCTGCAAAAAGTCCAGCTAGGGCTTTGAATTTGTAGGTCAATTTGGGAAGTATTGACATCTTTACAATGTTGAGTCTCCTGATCCATGAATATGGGATGTCTTTCCATTTATTTAAGTGTTCTTTAGTTTCTTTTAACAATGTTTGTAGTTTTCAGCATGCAAGTTTTGCACTTCTTTTGTTAAATTTATTCCTAAGAATTTTATTATTTGTTGATGCTATTGTAAAAGCAATTTTCTTAATTTCATTTTCAGATTGTTCGTTGCTGGTGTATAGAATTACAGTTGATCTTTGTATATTGATCTTCTGTCCTGCAGCCTTGCTGAACTTCTTTATCAGCTTAATAATGTTTTAGTGGATTCCTTAAGATTTTCTATATACAAAATCGTTGCATTGGTGAATGTAGTTTTACTTTTTTCTTACTAATCTGAGTGCCTTTTATTTCCTTTTCTTGCCTAATTGCCCTGGCTAGAACCTCCAGTACAATATTGAATAGAAGTGGTGAGAGGGAACATTTTTGTCTTGTTCCTGATCTTAGAGGGAAACATCCAGTCTTTCACCACTAAGTGTGATGTTAGCTGTGCATTTTTCTTTGATCGCTTTATCAGATTGAGGACCTTGAGTATTTTTATCATGAGAGGTGTTGGATTTTGTCAAATGCTTTTTCTTGTCTTTTGAGATGATCGTGTGGGTTTTGTTATATTTCCATTTAAATGAGCTCTTCCATTCTTGATCTTGGAGTAGGTCTCGTGCATTACAGAAATTAACGATTAGTGGTCATTAGCAATTGGATAAATGGCAGAAGCCTTGGGAGCCAGTGAGATTACCCAGAAGGAGCATATAGAAGGAGAAGGGGGCTAAAGATGGAACTTTGAGGAATATGAGTAGTCAGTTATCATGTGCAGTGCTAAATTTAGTCTCATATCAGTTAATTTAATGACAACTTCACCTAAGGTAGCAGAGCGTGGCTTTGCTTTGCTAGGCAATAGTGCTGTTGTCTGCAGCCACTGACGTGTCTGAAGACCCTCTGGTAACGTGGGAAGTCTTTCTGCCCGTTATTTGGTTGCCTTTGTATGAGGGCAGAGCCCTTGTACAGAGTGCAAGTATTTAACGTGTAGACAAAAAGATCAGCATGCTTTTTGAAATGAACATGTACGTGGCAAGTAAATAGTAGAACTTCAAACTTCGTAAACACTGCTAGTTTCATAAATTGACCATTTTAACAGTATTAGATGCTGAAATTTACCTTTTGTCTTAGAAGTGATGTTTGTGTAGAAACAGAAAAAAACTCCCAATTTGTGGGAAATTTCCTTCATATAATTAGTGTTCTTTTGTAAGGAGCCTGAAGCATGCACAGTAGTGAGCGCCCGTAGAGCTGCAGACTTTGTATTGAGAACTAGGACTGGAGAGCACTTTCTCTTCTCATTTTCCTTTGTCCTGTAAACTGCTGCTACTTACAAAGTAATGTCTCTTTTAATTTCATGATCACTACTAGCAGTTACCCAGGAAACCCCGATATCAAAGCATTAAAAACTGATAATGATCACGGTAGCTTGTTGGTGAGGCTACTTGTTATACAAGAAAGTTATTTCAGCTTTATTGAGTATAGTTGACAAAAGTATATAATTGAAGTATATAACTTGATGATTTGATATACTTAATGTAGTGAAATATTCACCAAAATCAAGTTAATTAACGTACCTATTACTTCACACGGCTACTGTTTTCTTTCCTTCTTTTTTTGTGGTGATAATACTTAAGATCTGCCCTCTGAGCAAATTTCAAGTGTATGATACAATATTGTTAACTGTAGTCACTATACAAGACGTTTGACCCTTAGAAATATCCTAACTGAATGTCAGCAGTTAAGATCTAAGTATATAGCAGTGTGTTACCTATTCTAAATTTAAATTAGTTGATAGTCTTGGAGACTACTGCAAGAAGTTATTGAAATTCTCCAATTTAATCATAAGTAATTCAAATGATTTGGTTGAACTACAGTCTTGTTAAATTGATCAACTCATCAAATAATATGATTGGTAAAAGTCAGGTTTTGAGGGGCTGGCCCAGTGGTGCAGTGGTTAAGTTTGCGTCTCTGCTTTGGTGTCCTGGGGTTCGCAGGTTTGGATCCTGGGCACAGAGGTACACACTGCTCATCAGGCCACACCGTGGTGGTGTCCCACGTACAAAATAGAGGAAGATGGGTGCAGATGTTAGCTCAGCGACAGTCTTCCTCAGCAAAAAGAGGAAGACTGGCAACAGATGTAGCTCAGGGCCAAAAAAAGAGTCAATTTTGAGATGTTTGTTACCTGAAATTTTGTTTCTGCCTTGAACTACATTATTAGAATTATCCAAAATCATGTGAATAACCTGACTGAGATTAATAGATTGAGGCACAAAATAGTAGAAAATTGACTGATAGCTATGAATTAATACTAAAATTAATAGAACATGGGATGCTGCAGCATGGTACCCTCAATTTATAAACTATCTAAGACACATTAAAGGAGCTGACACATCTATTTGGAGGGTCAGAACCCAAATCAGGGTTCTTATGAGACGAATCAGTCCAGCTGTGTAGTAAGGAGAGATATATTTAGATGCTATGTCAAATTATTTGTCGTGTTTAACCTTAAATATGCAAGATGTTTTTAAAAGTATATTAACAGCAGAAAGATTGCTGACTTAGCCGTTTCTAAGACAGATGTTTCCACTTGGTCCTAATCCATAGTTCTTAAAATTTTGGAGAACTGCTTCATTTCTTTGCCATGATTAAGTAAATAAAAATGAGACTGTACTTGCTAGGGGAAAAGAGAAATGAGTGTTCAGGTACTAAGGTTGGAAGTAGATGATTTATGTACTATAAACTTTACACAGTCATGCGCCACATGACGACGTTTCGGTCAACAACAGACTGCCTGTACGATGGTGGTCCCATAGGATTGGTACCATGTAGCCTAGGTGTGTAGTGGGCTGTACCGTCTAGGTTTGTGCAAGTCACTCTGTGATGTTCGCACAATGACGAAATCACATAAGGACGCATTTCTCAGAACGTATCCTCATTGTTAAGTGATGCATGACTGTGAAGTCATCACATACTTTTAATTGTTGATGAGTTTTTACGTTGTGCAGGTCTGTAGACAGTGATATATCTTCAAGTATATGGTTCATAAAATGGTTGTGGTTAATTTGTCCTGTATTAAATTATATTGTTGGCAAACATAAAATACATAGCTCTTCTCATTATCACATGTATACATTATGATGTGTGATAGCAGCTGGAAAACATTTTATATTATAAAATTTATACATTTCTTTAGTAGTCTTCTTGATGTAGCAAAAAACTAACCCTTTTTAGAAAGACTGTTAACTCATGTTCTCTAAATGTATATACATATAAAGCCTTTTAATGTGAAAAATTGTTGGGTTTCTGTTCTTATGACTGCAGGAAGCATATGTGCCTCATTTCTTACCCAAAGCTACCAACTGCCAGTTCTTGATACAATGTTTGTACGAAAGAAATATCGAGGCAAGGATTTTGGGCTTCATATGCTGGAGGACTTTGTTGATTCCTTTACAGAAGATGCTCTTGGCCTGCGGTATCCACTGTCTTCTCTCATGTACACAGGTAAATGGATTGAGTTAGAAAACGTTAAGCTTGTCTCAGTGTTGCTTCTGACTTGTGTCTGTGGAATATTGTAAATGTGCATATCTCAATATTAAATAAATTTGAATTCTTTGGCTGCCTAAGGCTTAATTTTACAGATGTGCCCTTATATATGTGGCTTTTGAGGGTGTGGTAGCTCTTTTTAAAAAACTGAAATATAATTCACATACCATAAAATTCACCCTCTTAAAGTGTACAATTCACTGGTTTTTAGTATATTCACAGCTGTACAACCATAACCACTAATTCCAGAATATTCTCATCACCCACCAAAAGAAACCCTGCGTCAATTAATAGTCAGTCTTCATTCCCCCATTCCTCCGTCCCCTGGCAACCACTGATCTGTTTTCTGTCTCTATAGATTTACTTATTCTGGGTATTTCATATAAATGGAATCATATGATGTGATTATATTGTAAGCCCTTTGTGTCTAGCTTCTTTGATTTTGCTAAATGTCGCGTCCATGTTGTAGCTTGAATCAGTGCTTCATTCCTCTTTATGGCTGAGTAATATTCTGTTGTATAGTTAGGCCACAATTTGTTTGTCTATCACCAGTTGATGGGCTTTTGGGTTGTTTCCACTTTTTAACTGTTATGAATAACACTGCTGTGAACATTGTGTGGTATTTATGTGAACATTTCTCTTGTGTATGTGTACCCAGGTGGGGATGAAATTGCTGGGTCATATGGTGACTCTATGTTTAATCTTTTGAGGAATTGCCATGCTGTTCTCCAAAGCAACTGCATCATTTTACATTCCCATGAACAATGTATAGGGCTGCAGTTTCTCCATATCCTTGTCAGCACTTGTTATTATCTGTCCTTTGATTATAGCCATCCGGCTGGGTGTGAAGTGGCATCTCGTAGTTTTGATTTGCATTTGATGTTGAGCATCTTTTCATATACTTATTGGCCATTTCTGTATCTTCTTTGGAGAAATGTCTGCTTAGATCCTTTGACCATGTTTTCTTTGGATTGTTGAATTATTTGTCTGTGAAAAAAAACCTCAGGGGCTGGCCCTGTGGTGTAGTGTAGTGGTTAAATTCAGCATGCTCTGCTTTGGCAGCCTGGATTCACGGATTTTGATGCCACTTGTCAGCCATATTGTTGTGGTGACCCACATACAAAATAAAGATTGGCACAGATATTAGCTCAGGGCTAATCTTCCTCAAGCAAAGAGAGAGGAAGATTGGCAGCAGATGTTAACTCAGGGTGAATCTTCCTCAGCAAAAAATAAATAAGTAAATAAAATTCATTGGTATATGTATGTGTCTTTCTGCCAGTACCATGCTGTTTTGATTGTTATAGGTTTGTAGTATATTCTGAAGTCAGGAATTGTGATACCTCCAGCATTGTTCATTTTTCTCAGGATTGCTTTGGCTATTCTGGGTATTTTGTTGTTCCATATAAATTTTAGGATTCTTTATTCTATTTCCATGACAAACATCATTGGGGTTGTCGTTGATTCTGTAGATTGCTTTAGGTAATATGGACATTTTAACTATATGTATTCTTCCAATCCATGAGCATGGAATATCTTTCCATTTCTTTATGCCTTCTTCAGTTTCTTTCAAGAATGTCTTACAGTTTTCAGTGTATAGGTCTTTTACCTCCTTGGTTAAATTTATTCCTAGATATTGTATTCTTTTTTGTTACGATTGTAAATGGGATTGTATTCTTGACTTCTCTTTCTCCTAGTTTGTTATTAGTGTATAAAAATGCAACTGATTTTTGTAATTTGATTTTGTACCCTGCTACTTTGCTGTAGTAGTTGATTATTTCCAATAGTTTTCTGGTGAATTCTTCAGGGTTTACTATATAGAGTCATGTCATCTGCAAACAGAATTTTACTTCTTCCTTTCCAGTTTATCCCTTTTATTTCTTTTTCTTTCCTAATTGCTGTGGCCCAAACTTCCAGTACTATGTTGAATAAGAGTGGCAGGAGTGGGCACCCTTATCTTGTTCCTGTTCTCAGAGGAATGGCTTTCAGTTTTTTACCATTAAGTGTGATTTTGGCTGTGGGTTTGTCATATATGGCCTTTATTATGTTGAGGTGCTTTCCTTCTATGCCCATTTTGTTGAGAGTTTTTATCATAAATGGATGTTGGATCTTATCAAATGCTTTTTCTGCATCTGTTAAGATGATCATGTGATTTTTATTCCTCATTTTGTTAATGTGGCATATCACATTGATTGATTTGCAGATGTTAAACCATCCCTGAGTCCCTGGAATAAATCCCACTTGATCATGGTGTATGATCCTTTTAATGTATTGCTATATTTGATTTGCTAGTATTTTGTTGAGGATATTGACATCTATGTTCATCAGTGATGTTGGCCTGTAATTTTCCTTCTTTGTGTTGTTGTTTTCTGCTTTTGATATCAGGGTAATGTTGGCCTCGTAGAATGAGTTAGGAAGCATCCTGTCTTCTTTAGTTTTTCAGAATAGTTTGAGAAAGAAAGGTATTGTCTTCTTACACCTGTCAGAATGGCTATAATGAACAAGACAAAAAATGACAAATGTTGGAGAGGATGTGGAGAAAAGGGAACCCTTCTACACTGCTGGTGGGAATGCAAACTGGTGCAGCCACTGTGAAAAACAGTATGGAGATTTCTCAAAAAATTAAAAATGGAAGTACCATACAATCCAGCCATCCCACTACTGGGTATTTATCCAAAGAATGTGAAATCCACAATTCAAAGAGAATTATGCACCCCTATGTTCATCGCAGCATTCTTCACAGTAGCCAAGACGTGGAAGCAACTCAAGCACCCATTAACAGATGAATGGATAAAGAAGGTGTATTTTATTTATATATATATATATATATATATATATATATAAAATATATGTATATTTATATATATATAAAATATATATAATAATATATATTATATATGAATGTTTTACATATATAATATATATATTATATATATACATATATAATGGAAGTACTACTCATAAAAAAGGGAAAGTCATGTAGTTTGCAACAACATGGATGAACCCTGAAGGTATTATGCTAAAGGAAATAAGCCAGACAGAGAAAGGTGAACAGCATGTGATTTCACTCATGTGGAAGACAAGGAGAACTGACTGGTGGTCACCAGAGGTGAAGGGGGTCGGAGGGAGGGCGAAAGGACGAAAGGGGCACATGTATATGGTGACAGATGAAAACTAGACTATTGGTGGTGAGCGTGATGCAGTCTGTACAGAAACTGGTGTATAGTAGTGCACATCTGAAATCACACAATGTTATAAGCTAGTGTGACCTCAGTGAAATAATTAAAAAGAAGTTTCAGACATAGAAAAAGGTATAAAGAATAAGGTAACAAATATCGTGTACCATCCAGCACGAGCCATCACGAGAACGGATCTCTGCCAGTGCAGCTGGGCTCCTGCCCGGCTGGCTCGCTCCCTTCCCTGAAATTGGCACTGTCCTCAGTTTGGCATTTATTTTCCGTATGCGTTTCTCCAGACTTTTAATACATAACGTATATATCCTCCAACAATATGTCGTATTGTTTTACATGTTGAAAAACTTTGTGTAAGTGATACGTACTATAGGAATTCTCCTGCAGTTTGCTTTTTCTCTCATCTTGATGAGATTCATCCGTGGGAATTCATGTAGGTCTGTTTATTCGTTTTCAGTGCTGCTTAGTATTCCGTTGTGGGGATATACCATGTGGCCATGGTTTAAAAACTGTTAGTGGACTCATACTTGGATTTGTGTAAAGCCTATGCAACTGCTTTTTTCTTAATGAAGTAAGATTTAATCCTACAAAGTAATTTATTTGAAAACTTTTATAAAATAGAATTTACCATTGATTTTAGTCTAACATCAAATGTTTATTTCCACTGAAAATACATTTTTGTTGTGTTTCCTCCCACTTTTTAATATTGCAAATCTAGAAAACAAGAACTAAGTGTTGTGTGCTCATCTTGAATCACAGTTTCTCTTTAGACCCATCCATGAGAAGGGAGTGAACCGTGTATACCCTTGGATAACCTGAAAATGGGTTTTCCCCTTAATGTCTAATTACTACTTTACTGAATTTGGGGAGGAATGCCAACATGTCCACTGTGGGCACAGTCTCTTAATATTGAGTGTTTTCTAGGATTATAATGATAAGTAACCTGAATACCAGGTGAATTACAAGCCATCCTGAGGCGGTGTCCTTCATACAAAATAGAGGGAGATTGGCATAGGTGTTAGCTCAGGGCCCCTTTTCATCAAGCAAAAAGAGGAAGATTGGCAATAGGTGTTAGCTCAGGTCCAATCTTCCTCACCAAAAAACCCCACAAAAAGCCGAAAAACAAATAGATAATGAGTGGCACATATGGATGGGCTTGGTCTCAGGCCACAGTAGGTGATCAGCCAGCTGTGGGATTTGATTTACATAGTACTATAACATATGTACCCAGAGACATGGAATAAATGACTTCTCGAGAATCTTTTATCCACTTAGAGTTTATCCTGGTGTACCCCATGAGGTACAGATCCAAGTTTATTTTACCTGAGAGATCTGTTTGCCATGGTACCATGTATTGAATGATTTATCTTTTTTGCACTGATTTGCATTCGCATCTATATCGGGGTCAGCAAACAATGGTCTACTGGCCTGCTGACTCTCTTTGTAAATAAAGTTTTACTGGAACACTGTCATGCTCATTCATTTACGTATTGTCCCTGGCTTCTTTTGCACTAAACTGTCAGTTGTTTAGTTATGACAGTGACCATATGGCCTGAAAGTGTAAAATATTTATTATCTGTCTCTTTAAGAAATAAGTTTGGTAATCCTTAGTGTGGATCATACGTTAAATTTGTGTGTGTATATGTATTTGTGTATACTTCTCACCTTCCTATTTATTTCTATTAGTCTTTTCTTGTAAGTTCCAGTACTTCACAGTTTTATTTATTTTAGCTTTCGAATATTTGGGAAGACTAGTCATCTTCTCTGTGT